CGCTGCCGCTGCTCTGCGCCGGAGCCTGGCTCCTGGGAGCCCCCGTCTGCGGCGCCGCGGAACTGTCCGTGAACTCCTTAGGTACGCAGAGGGGGCGCTGCCCGAGAGGGTGCTGGCAGGTCCTACAGTGAACGCCGGGAGAACTTGGCAGGGGACGCACTGGGCTCCGGAGGAACGGGGCAGGGCTTTCCCCGGTGAGAGGCCAGGGACTCTGCGTGCTGGCACGGGGAAGGGTGAACTGCATTATAGGTGGGGGCGGGGGGGCGTCTCGGAGGGTAGGCGGCTTGTGGGACCAGAGGAGCAGATGGGCTGAGTGTCCAGGGTCCCGCTTAGCCAGGCGGCTCTCCAGCCTAGAATACCAAAGGATCCCGCAGCTCCTTCCGCCTTCCCCAACTGGGGACACAGAGTGTCACACAGAGGACTTTGATCTGTCCCTGCCAGAGGCGAGCAAGGACTTTCCAGCCTTCTGTAGCAGCTTCCCCCGGGACTTGGCACACAAGGGATCCCCATAGTGTCCTGGGAGTCCCATCTGTAGAGTAGGTTGGACGGGCTGTTTGAGAGTGTGCAACGGCAGCAGGGAAAGCACTCAGACCAGCAGCGCTTTTAACCGCACCCCAGGGCCCATGGTGTCAGGTGGAGCCCCAGGACTCCTCTTGTTGGCCAGGCTGTGACTGGTCCAGCTTCGTGCTGCCCTTGCACCCTGTCTACTGCCCGGGCTCAGGCACCGCCCTGGCTGAAGGCAAGGAGCCTGTTCTTCCCTACTGCCTCTCTCCTTTCCTACTGCCTCTGGTCCCAGCCTCTGCCCACAGGCTCTGAACTTAAAGACCACCTGCCCCCTTCACAGAGAAAAGTAGCCAAGAAACAACCCGACGAGCCAGGAAGGGGGGTGCTCTGAGCTCTGAAGGAACGGGACAGGGCTTTCCCCCAGCTAAAGGCTCAGGGGATGGGACAAAGATCACCGAGGCTGAATCTGGGCCGGAGGGTTGCCTCATTCCTTCCCACCTATTTATTAAAAAAAAAACCCAGTCTTGCAGACCTCAGTGGGTGGCCAGCTCCAGGTCAGTTCCCGACTAAGGAAAACGCAGCTGCCCCAAGCCAGGGCTGCTTGGAGGAGGCTGGCACTGAGAGACTGTCTGAATTCCAGAGCAGGGCTTGGCAAACTTTTTCTGTAAAAGACCAGATGGTAAATAACTTAGGCTTTATGGTGGTCTCTGTAGCAACTACTAACTCTGCCATGGTAGTGTGATAGTAACCATAGATTGTATGTAAGTGGGTGAGTGTGACTGGGTTCTAATAAATGATTTTTATGGCCACTGAAATTTCAGTTTCAAATGATTTTCAGATGCTATAAAATATTATATTTCTTCTAACCATTCAAAAGTGTAAGAAACTGTTTGTAGCTCAGGAGCTGTACAAAAACAGGGGCCAAGGACTGGGCGCGGTGGCTCACACCTGTAATCTCAGCACTTTGGGAGACCAGGGCAGTCGGATCACTTTAGGTCAGGAGTTCGAGACCAGCCTGGCCAATATGGTGAAACCCTGTCTCTACTGAAAATACGAAAATTAGCTGGGTGTGGTAACCAGGCGCCTGTAATCCCAGCTACTCAGGAGGCTGGGGCAGGAGACTCACTTGAAACCTAGAGGTGGCAATTACTCCAGCCTGGGTGACAGAGTAAGACTCCATCTAAACAGACAAACAAACAAACAAACAGGGGAATACTGTAGTTTCCTGAAACCTGCTCTAAATCCAGGCAAGGCAGCACACATTATGGCACTTTTAAAAGTCCTGACTAGATTGGAATGGATCTATTTGAGGGTAGAGTACGGTTCACCAGCAGATTATTCTGGCCCCAGAATAATCTCCCCAGAGGCAAACTGGTAGTCAATTGTCCTAAACTCAAACCCTGTCTCCAACTTTTGTCCTGAGTTGAGGTCAGTCTTCCTCTAAAGCCCTCAGCTGCAGCAGGGCACTTAATGAAGATTTGGAATCCCCTGAAACTCTAAAGGGACCCATGTTGGGGAAATGTGCATTTTCCCCCAGGGAAAATGGCCATAGATTGGTCTCTGGAACAGGTTCGAGACCCAAAAACAGAGATCTGAATGCTGTGTGGTAGTAATCTTCACACTGGAGGTATGAATCCTTGGAGGAATACAAAGGTATTCCAAGTGATGCCGGCAGAGTGTTCTGGAAATCCATTTACAGACCTTTTATTTCCAAATGTCCTCTTTGCTAAAACTGGGAGAGAGCCCCTGAAGGCAAGGGGGTGCCTCTTTCCTCTCATTCAATCTGAACCTGAACCGATGGGTATAAAAGCAACAGGGACGGCAAACAAAAAAACAAAACGGTAATAAATCCTTCATATCTGGCATTCTCCATTCCTCAAGGAAACTGAATTGAAGAGGAGAGGACCTCATGGGGATATCAACTGATGGGGTCTTAAAGATAATGTTGAGTGAGGCCAGGCGTGGGGACTGATGTCTGTAATCCCAACACTTTGGGAGGCCAAGGTGGGTGGATCACCTGAGGTCAGAAGTTTCAGACCAGATTGGCTAACATGGTGAAACCCCATCTCTACTAACAATATAAAAATTAGCTGGGTGTGGTGGTGGGCACCTGTAATCCCAGCTACTTGGGAGGCTGAGATAGGAGAATTGCTTGAACTGGGGAGGTGGAGGTTGCAGTGAGCGGATATCATGCCACTGCCCTCTAGCCTGGGCAACAGAGCCAGACTCTGTCTCAAAAAAAAAAAAGAAAAGGAAAGAAGGAAGGAAGCGAGGAAGGGAGGAAGGGAGTGAGGAAGGGAGGAACGGAGGAACGGAGGGAGGGAGGGAGGGGAAAAGAAAAGAAAAGGAAGGAAGGAAAGAAAGGAAAAGAAGAAAAAGAAAGGGAAGAAAGGAAGGAAAGAAAGAGAGAGAAAGAGAAAGAAAGAAAAAGAAAGAAAGTTAGTTGAGTGATAGGAGTACCATGGGATTGGATGCACAGAAAGGAGTGGAAAGATTTAAATGGCATTGCTCTTAAAAACTGCCTGCATTCCCAGCTGCTTATTTGAGCAGGGTTTGCCAGTCCTTTGACCTATAAGAAACAAAAATAAGACCAGAATTAATGCTGAACCTTTTCTCAATCAAACAATATTCACTCATGAAAATATAAATCCATTGTGGGGGATGGGTAGTAGAGTCCTGTTTATTTCATTAAGAGATGCATTTCTGATACAATTTTACTTTTGGTGTTTAACAATTACTTTTCATAATGCATAATACATTTGAAATGTTTTCATCATTTGGGACACTAATAATAATTATGATTACTCAATCCAGAATAATTTTTTTTTTTTTTTTTTTTTTTGAGATGGAGTCTTGCTCTTTCACCCAGGCGGGAGTGCAACGGCACGATCACAGCTCACTGCAAGCTCTGCCTCCCAGGTTCAAGCGATTCCCCTGCCTCAGCCTCCTGAGTAGCTGGGATTACAGGCACACACCACTATACCCAGCTAATTTTTGTATTTTTGTGGAGACGGAGTTTCACCATGTTGGCCAAGCTGGTCTTGAACTCCTGAACTCAAGCGATCCACCCACCTTGGCCTCCCAAAGTGTTGGGATTCCAGGCATGAGCCACCGCACCCAGCTGGAGTAGATAGATTTTTAAATTAACTTCTTACTGAAATATAACATCATACAGAAAGGGGCACAATTCATTAAGTATGCATTTCCACACATTTTCGCCATCTATACACACTCAGGTAACCAGTGCTCAGATGAAGAAACAGGACATGAGCAGCACCCCAGAAGCGCTTTCTGTGCCCCCACCCAGTAGGCATAGCGACTCTCTGGACTTTTAACGCCATTGATTAACAGTACATACTTTGTCACGTTAATTTGGGGTACAAAACCAGGAAGAGGCAGAGTTTCTTTTTGCATTCTGCATTATATCACACCATTTTTGATGTTTTAAATTTAGCCCAGTTTTCTAAAATGCAAATCAGTTCTAAAGTGCCCTACTTTACTATAGACTCAATAGTACTGTGATGTGCCCAGACCTAATTTTTTTTTTTCTTTTTACAGAGAAGTTTCACTTCAAGTCATGGATGTCTAAGGTCAGTGCCCAACTTCTTCTTTCTGAAGTTTTTCATTTCACAGTTTCCTGTTATCAAACCAAACTGTCCCAGATTTGAGACAATGAAAGAGGGAATTTCCAACTTTGCCTAATGGGGTCTTTCCAGACGTCGAATTGGCCAAACACTGGGAAAGATGCAGTTAAGTAAATTCCTTCCAAATAGTGGTCCCAAGTGATGAACTTGGCTGACAACCTTCCAAGCCCTGGGATTCGTTTCTGTATTTTGTATTCAAAGCATATTGTGGAGAATGTAAATTAGTACAACCATTGTAAAGAAAAAAAAAAAAAAACAGTATGAGGGTTCCACCAAAAACTCAAAACAAAACTACCATATGACCCAGCAAGCCTACTACTGAGTATATATCCAAAAGAAAGGAAAATAGTATAATGGGGAGATAACTGCACCCTCATGTTTATTGCAGAACTAGTCACAATAGCCGAGATACGGAATCAACCTAAGTGCCTATCAACGGGGAAAGCAAACATGGTGTATATACACAATGGGATATTATTCAGCCATAAAAATATGAGATTCTGTCATCTGCAGCAACATGGATGGAACTGGAGGCCAGTATGTTGAGTGAAATAAGCCAGGCATGGAAAGGCAAATATTGCATGTTCTCACTCATATGTGAGAGATAAAAAGGTGGATCTCATGAGGAAAGACAGTAGAATGGTGACTACCAGAGGCTAGGAAGGGTAGGGAAGCAGGGATGAAGATAAATTGATTCATGAATACAAAGAAATTTTTTTTTTTTTTTTTTTTTTTGAGACGGAGTCTCGCTCTGTCGCCCGGGCTAGAGTGCAGTGGCCGGATCTCAGCTCACTGCAAGCTCCGCTTCCCGGGTTTACGCCATTCTCCTGCCTCAGCCTCCTGAGTAGCTGGGATTACAGGTGCCTGCCATCACGCCCAACTAATTTTTTTGTTTTTTTAGTAGAGACGGGGTTTCACCGTGTTAGCCAGGATGGTCTCGATCTCCTGACCTCGTGATCCGCCCGTCTCAGCCTCCCAAAGTGCTGGGATTACAGGCTTGAGCCACCACGCCCGGCTAAATTTTTTTTTTTTTTGAGACAGAGTCTCACTTTGTCACCCAGGCTGGAGTGCAGTGGTGCACTCTCGGCTCACTGCAACCTCCACCTCCTGGGTTCAAGCGATTCTCATGCCTCAACCTCCTGAGTAGCTGCGATTACAGGTGCCTGCCATCACGCCCAACTAATTTTTGTATGTTTAGTAGAGATGGGGTTTCACCATGTTGGCCAGGTGGGTCTTGAACTCCCGACCTCAGGTGATCCACCCGCCCCAGCCTCCCAAAGTGCTGGGATTACAGGCGTGAGCCACCACACCTGGCCCAAAAATAATTAGATAGAAGAAATGAAACCAAGTGTTTAGCAAATAAGTTGATTGGACTGTAGTAAGCAATAATTTATTGTGTATTTCCAAATAGCTATAAGAGAATAAGTTGAATGTTCCCAGCATAAAGAAATGTTTAAAGTAATGGATATCCCAGTTACCTTGATTTGATTATTACAGATGATATGACTATATCGAAATATTACATGTATCAAAAAAAGTACATCAGCTATATATCAATAAAAAATTATACACATTTGTTCTTAGAAAACCAAAGCACACCGTGTACTGGTTGCAAAATCAGTTGAGGAACACCAGTGCTTGTGCTTTTGAAAAATGGTGATTTTTGCCATAAACTTGACCCAGCACCAGCAGCGGCGTCCAGGAGTGCCCCGCATGTGGCGGGTCTGTCCACCAGTGCCTCTTGGACCGCAAGCTGACTTTCAAGCAGCTGCATGGTTTTCATTCTGGCCACAGGACCCTGAAGATGGGGTTGTTTTGTAACTTCCCAAATTTCTCAGCAGAGACTAAGGGCAGTGCCCCGCCCATAAACACAGATTTGGCCTGTGAGTGATAGCAGGAAGAAAACCTTCGTCTTTCCTCTTATGAAAACAAAAACGTCTCCCTCTGGGGAGCTGTATCCTGTTTTCATGACTTGCTGCTGGCGTGTTTTGTTTTAGCACCATAAGACATACAGCACGGAGGAGTACCACCACAGGATGCAGACGTTTGCCAGCAACTGGAGGAAGATAAATGCCCACAACAATGGGAACCACACATTTAAAAGTACGTGGACACCTTCCTTCCTGGAAAGAAGTCAGTTAGTGAACCAGCCCATGAAAGGGCCCACTGGGTGCTGGTGGGTGGAGGGAGCAGGAGCCCGGGCTCTGAAGTTGTGTTTGGCTGACCTCAGATTGTGGCTCCACTATTACTCTCTGTGTCATGTGGGATCGTAAATTTGGGACAAAGTCGGTACCCCTCTGGGTGGTTGTGAAGTTTACAAGAGACTGTAGAAGCCCCTGCCCCTTTCCTGCCATCTGAGGGTCCAGCCTAGAAGCCAAGCTCTGTCTTTGGATTGTTGTCGGGGGTAGGGGTTGCTCATGGGCTCAGAGCAGCCCCTGGGAACATCTGCCTTCACTCCGGATTAATTTCACTAGAAACTCACACACACGTCCGGCGTATTTGCTAAGGACTCTGAGAAATATTGGTAGTTGACTAAATTGGTAATAAAGGCATCAAGCATGAACTGGAAGGAAACTTGGGCTTGAAACTCATTTCTGCCCAGTCCTAGCCTGTGACCTTCGGGGATGCTTACATGGGCAGTAAAGAGGAAATGAGGCCAGGTGTGGTGGCCCACGCCTGTAATCCCTGAAGACGAGGTCGGGAATTCGAGACCAGCCTGGCCAACATGGCGAAACCCCATCTCTACTAAAAATACAAAAATTAGCCAGGCATGGTGGCAGGCGCCTGTAGTCCCAACGACTAGGGAAGCTGAGGCAAGAGAATTGCTTGAACCTGGGAGGCGGAGCTTGTAGGGAGGCGGAGCTTGTAGTGAGCCGAGATTGCGCCACTGCCTCCAGCCTGGGCAACAGAGCGAGACTCCGTCTCAAAAAAAAAGAAAAAAGAAAAAGCGGAAATGATCACGCATCCCTCCTGGGGCTGTGTAGAGACCAAATGAGGCAGCAGGTGGGAAGGCCGCTGGCACCAGTGGAGTGGCTCTTTACCTAGCCATCCATCAGATTCACGAGGGGAGTATCTAAAAACGTAAGTGCCCAGGCTCCACCCCAGACCAACTGCATTAGCATCTCTGGAGTGTGGCCCGGATATCTATACCATCAAAAAAGCTCCCCAGGTATTTTGGCAGCACTGTAAGGGCTGACCTTAGTATACTGAATTATATTAAATACAGAAACTTAAAGGAGATGAGTTGCAGTGGTTCTAAACAGGATACAGGTAAACAGGAGGTTTTATCATTTTTTCTTGTCTCTTCATTAATGATTCACTAGCCACCTGTTTTATTTTGGTTTTTTCCTTCCTCTTTGTAGTGGCACTGAACCAATTTTCAGACATGAGCTTTGCTGAAATAAAGCACAAGTATCTTTGGTCAGAGCCTCAGGTAGGTATAATTCATTGCAACCAAATCTGAATTCTTTTAGTGAAACCTTTGGAATAAATTTGGAGCCTGCTCTGCTTCTAGGCAGATTCAGTCCCATCCCCAGATGCAGCTGAGGGTGTCCCCAGATTCGTTGGGGGAACCAGAGTAGTCAGCTCTCAGCAGTCCAGGCCCATGGCCTTAGCAATGTGGACCCTTAACTTCAGGCTCCCAGATTAAAATATAGATGCTCAGTTAAAAATGAATTTCAGATCAACAACAAGTAATTCTTTAGCATAGGTATATTCTAAATATTGCACAGGATATACTTACACTACAAAGTTATTTGTTGTTTACCTGAAATTCAAATTTAACTAGGTGAGCTGTATTTTTATTTGCTACATCTGTCTACACTATCCTAACGCTCTGGACTCTCAAGGGGACATGTCATTTAGCATCTGGGACGAGTAGACAAGAGAGGGAAGGTTCTGACAGCTGCAGTCTTTCTCATTCTGTCTTGGTGATTCCATTTTTATACATTTCTTCTTCTTGTTGTCAGAAAGGTTTTTGGTTTTGTTTATTTTCCTGAAAATAATGTGTTTGGTTGTTCCAGAATTGCTCAGCCACCAAAAGTAACTACCTTCGAGGTACTGGTCCCTACCCACCTTCCATGGACTGGCGGAAAAAAGGAAATTTTGTCTCACCTGTGAAAAATCAGGTATGCTTGGCAATCTCCATCCTCTCCCTGCAAAACAGCCACACTCCCAGACAATACACTAGGAAGAACAACTCAAAAAGTCCACAAAACCACCTTAAACACATGCCTGCCTCTGTTTCCTCTCAGCATCTCTCCAGCCCTCTTCCTTTGAGGCGCCAGGGAGGTCAGCACTTCTCTAGGCTGCTCTGGAGGATGCAAAAGTTCCTCTTTATTGGGCTAAAGTTCACTGCCTTCCTTCGCCACGCCCCGCATTTTCCCATTGGTGCCAGGTCTCTCCTACAGAGCCATCCAAAACATTATGTTCCCTGTGCCCATCTGGACACCAGAACCCCATGCATCTCCTCTTCCCCGCTCCTTCCTCTCCGAGCCACCAGGGTCCAGCCCCTGCCCTGGCTGGCCGCATCCCTCTGGTTAGTCCGTGTGTCATGCATCAGCAAGCTTCTCATGGCAGGGGCTGGCCTCTGTGGCCCTCGTTGTGGGGCACAGAGGGCTTGGCAAGGTGAGAGGCCCCGCCTTCCTCCATGGGGGAGCAGTGGGGGGGGTCTCAACACAGGCCCTGTCCCAGAGAGTCTGGACCCTGCCCCCGCTGTTCTCCCGGCCTGCTGTGGCCCCTCCCCTAGCAGTGAACCTGCTGTGGCCTTCTTCAGCAAGACGCTGACCACTGGTCTCTAGGAAATATGAAGTGAAGGTTTCCTTCCTGGAAACTCCTGGCTTTCCATCAAAATTCTCCATGAGAAATGTTTTTTCACTTTCCAAAAAGCCATGCAGCACAGCTTGAAATCCTCCCGGGCTCTCAGTGTTCATGGAGCCTGCCAAGTGTTGGATGTTTAACTAGCACCCAGGAGCCAAAGCAAACCTCTCCTTGCTGCAGGGAGTGGAGTAGAAGCCTACCTTTGCCCCTGTGACCTTTTTAGACCCTCTGAGAACCACATGACAATTCAGGGCAACACGTAGCAAGTGTGGAAACCTAAACCTGCTCACCACTTGGACAGGTAGGAAAGGGAGGCCCACCAAGAATTTTCCAAGTCCTCCTGTTAACTGATCCCGGGCTATCAGGCAGAACGCAGCCAGCTGGGCTAAGGGAGCAGAATGAGGTGCTTCCTGTCATCGATGTGTGCTGTCTCTTACTGTGGCCGCTGTGTGGGGATAGAGATGGACAGCAGCCCCAGCGTCCATCAGCTCAGCACCCCCTTTGAGAGTTTATCACTTTACGGGGGGGAGCCTGAGAGGGAGGGTGGTTTGCCTGAGGTCCAAGGTAAGTAAGTGACAGAGGGGACTCAAAACCAGACCCCTGCCCCAAGTCTAGCACCCAAGGCTCAGCCCAGCTCCGCCTCCTTCAGCAGTGAGCATAGTCTCCCCTGAAGTGGCCACGCCTGCCTCATTGACCGTCTCTCCGGGACTCTCTCACCAGGCCGTCCCTCCCTCCCCCAGCTGAGAGAGATATGTAAAGGGAAGAGATTGGGGGAGGCCAGTGTGAACCTGGGATGATGACATGGAAGGCAGGAAGGGGACTTAGAGACATTTCAGAAGCCGAAGACGAAAGACTGAACCAGTGAGGCAAAGAAACAGGGATGAGCCCGAGAGAAATCCTTACGGCAGCCACCAGCATTGTGCCCATGGGGCCGACTGCCTGACCAGCAGGATCTGACCTAACCCTGCTAGTGCCCTGCAAGCAGGAACCCTCGCCATTCCCACTTTACAAGCAATGAAGCCAACGCTTCGAGAGGGGAAGTGACTTGCCCAGGTCACCCACCTGGTGTGTGGCAGAGCTGGGATGTGAACCAGGCAGGCAGGCTGCAGCCCCCCACACCTAACCCTCATGTTATTCTGGAGGTGTTGTGAATAAGGGGGCCAGGTAGCGGCAATGAACTGTCAGAAGGTGGGGAGATGAGTGGATGGGGCGGGTCCCCCAGAGTCTGGGGTGTCAGGGGTGTCTGGGTGGGGTTGTCTGCAGTTAGTTGGATGTCTGAGCCTGAGTGGAGGTCAGCACTGGGCTAGGGTTTGGGGAGCTGTTAGTTTAACAGGACTGTGGGTAGAATGAGACTGGAGGTAGAAAGGTGAGAGAAGGTTCTAAAAACAGAACTTTGGGGCATCCTTCTGTGGGGGACCAGTGGCAAAAAGAGGAGCCAGCTGAAGATCGAGAAGGAAGAGAGCCAGAAGACTGTAGAATGGGGTGGGGGACTCCAGGCCCTGGCAGGATGGTGGAGATTGGCCACCAAGAGGTGGGGATTGGGAGTCCACACGTGCTGGTCAGAGGCCACCTGCTGCTCCTGCTCCTTTGCAAGCCTCTCAGGACTTGTGAGGCTCAGAATGAATGGATCTGGAATAGGGCGTTGTAAACTGTCAAGGCACTTGAGGACTCGGGAGCTCTGGCAGGGTCAGCAGAGGAAGGCAGAAGGCAGGGCTGTCTCACGGTGTCCCCATCACTGATGTCCTCTGCCCTCCCCTGGCCTTTCCAGGGTGCCTGCAGCAGTTGCTGGACTTTCTCCACCACAGGGGCCCTGGAGTCTGCGATTGCCATCGCAACCGGGAAGATGCTGTCCTTGGTAAGAAATCAGCCACAGGCCACCCCCTGCAGAAGACACCCCAGCCTGATGTGGGCCAGGCCTGAGCCTTTGGTCTCCCTGGAGCACTGGCTAAGGGTGCTGTTTCAGGTGGACCCAGATGCCCCAGCCTTGTGGACATCTAGCATGAGAATCTTAACTGATGCTTTTCCTGGGAAGGATCTGAGTTTATTAAGGAACTGGCCCAAGGGCTCATTCCCAGGTGGATCTGGGTGGTCCTTAGCTTGACAGCCTTGAGCCTTCCCCGCAGAGGGGCTCAGAAAGGCGGAGCCTGCCTGGTGGGTAGCCAGCTAGGAGCTACGCCCTTCCCAGCAGCCTCAGTTATCTTCATGAGGGAAGAGCTGGGACCTATGCATCCATCCCCTCGCCCACAAGAGAGGGATGATGCCCCTGCAGGAACTGTCCTAGCCCCTGCCTCTGTGTGGGAAGGAGGGAGTGTGCACAGCAGGCCTGGTGAGGCCATGAGGGCCCTAGGTTGAAGACAGATGGGGGTTGGGTTTCTGGCTAGGCCTGTTTCCCCCATCCTATACACCGCTGTGGGACCCCATGCTCTGCATCGTATGGGCACACCTACAGGGCAAGGGCTTGGACCCAGCAGCCCTCGCCCCCTCTCACCTTCCCTGGCTGCCCCTGCTTACTGAGTCCCTCCTGACATATGCCAGCTGCTGAGCTGGCACTGCAGGACATACAGCAACTGTTCCTGCCCTTGGGGAGTTTATAATTTGATCACCTGGACACAGCACTGATGGGGCCCCAGATGTGGCTCAGCCAGGGAGGCTCAGCGCCTCGTGCCAAACCTTTGATGGCTTCTCAGCTCGCAGCTTACTGGGTTGTGTCCTTCTTCCAGGCTGAACAGCAGCTGGTGGACTGCGCCCAGGACTTCAACAATCACGGCTGCCAAGGGTATGTCCCTGACCAGGAGGGGCCCAAAACCTCCTCATTTCCCACTGACCGCTTCGACAGGATCCAGTGTGTGCTGGCTGTGCCACAGATATAATCCCACCATGCCCTGGGTGATGGCTAAATGGTCTCTGTCATATAAGGGCAGTCACCTCATATGGCCATGTCTCATAGCCAGGACAGGGCAGAGCTGGAATCCGAGCCCAGGCCTCTGTCCTCTCTCCACTGTATCACCTGGCTCTCCACAGCACGGTTGACCCCACCCGCCACCAAGGCCTCTGGGAGTGTGGCTAAAAGAATTTAATAGAGTGAGCAACACACCATTACACATCATCCTCCAAACCCGAGATCCACACACAGATACAGGGTTGGCCTTTAGATGAACTTGCTAAAGTCCCAGCTTCCCAAGCTCGTTGCACCCTGTGAGGGTGAGGTGGCCGTGCGTAAGGGCTGTACCTTGCCTGGACCTGCTTTCCTGGCCCACTCTAAAGCAGGTTGCCAGGAATTTGCTGACATTTCTACAGTGACTGTAGCCCTCCCTTCATGCAGTGCTCTGAGACATTTCGGTGGTCTTTGCTCACCTGGCACATGGTGTGCATAAAGCCAGGCCCTTGGGGTGCCCTGCCTCAGCTCCCCTCCACCTCCCTGGGGCACATCCCTCTCCCAGGCCCCAGCCCCTCTGAGCTGGCTCTTCCTCCTGCAGGGAGCCGTGCTGCAGCCGAGTCCTGGGGACCCAGGGGTGAAGTCACAGCCTGCTCTCAGATCCACCATCCTGCTCAGTGTCCCCTCACTTCTGGTCTGTTTCCGTTCCACAGCTTAGAAATCTGACCCATAACAAGACTCTGACATTTGGGCACTCTGGGGTCCCACTGTTTTTATTTTTATTTCATTTTTTATTTATTATTATTATTTTTTTGAGACAGAGTCTCGCTCTTGTCGCCCAGGCTGGAGTGCAGTGACGCAGTCTCGGCTCGCTGCAACCTCCGCTGCCTGTGTTCAAGCAATTCTCTTGCCTCAGCCTCCTGGCGGTGGTCCACGGCATTACAGGTGTGTACCACCACACCTAGCTAATTTTTGTATTTTTAGTAGAGACGGGGTTTCACCATGTTGGCCAGGCTAGTCTCGTACCCCTGACTTCAGGTGATCTGCCTGCCTTGGCCTCCCAAAGTACTGGAATTACAGGCGTGAGCCGCCACATCCAGCCTGTTTTTCAAAGGAGTCTGTTTGCTTTGGTTCGGGATGATACTTCCTTTTCTCATTCATACAACAAATATCACAGAGCACCCACTGTGTGTAGGCCCTGGGGATACGGCACTCAGCAGAACTGGAGGAGCGGGCATTCTGACAGGCTCAGACAGACCACGGTCAAGGCTAGACTAGGTCAGGTGGTGCGGAATGCTATGGAGAGAAACAGAGAAGGGATGGGGATTGCTGGGCAGCTGCTGAGTTTTTGTTTATTCTGGGAGGCCATGTGATGTAGAAAAACACCCACTTTTGAACCACTTCCCAGCTTTAGCTGTGTGGCTCTGGCCAGGTTATTCAGCCTCTTTGCCTCAGCAAATTACAGCATCTACCACACAGGGTCGACACGAGGGGTCAGGGAGTCGTGCCTGGGAAGCACCTGCTCAGGGGCACGGCCGTGCTGATGACTGCTCTGGGCTGATGCTGTTGACTGTGGTGTGGGGCTGTGCGCTCCTGACAGGGCAGCTGGCCTTGAGGGGTCTTTGTCCCACTGAGGCATGTTTGGACTGGTCCTTGGACTCCGGTGGCCTCACCTGAGTTTGCTGAGTCTTATCTCAAGGCCTCTCAGAGACCTCCTCTGCCACTGGGACACGCCCAACCAAGTCCCCAGCCTGCCAGGCCAGACATCTTGCTGCGCCAGCCCCCGAGGGTCCCGCCTCTATCAGGACGGCCCCAGGTGGGCTCACCTGTGTGTACTTCTTGCAGGGGTCTCCCCAGCCAGGCTTTCGAGTACATCCTGTACAACAAGGGGATCATGGGTGAAGACACCTACCCCTACCAGGGCAAGGTAACTCCAGCAGCCTCCGCTCTGTCTCCTTGGTGTACAGCACGCCTAGTTTCACCCCCTCCCCAGCCTGGAAGACATCCCTTCTCCCCCCACCTCCCTCCCACTGGAATTCTCACAATCGTCTGTGCTCTCCAAATTCTTCCTTCCCCTCCTCCACCCACCTGAGCCCACTGCTCTCACTAGTCTAGGGGCCTCTTATTCTCACCCCATACCCGCTTTGCAGTACCATATCCCTCCTTCCTGAGCCAGCCTTCTCAGGACCCCTCCTTCCCCCGACCTGCCCCATCTTCCGGGCTCCTCTCCCTCCTGCCACGAGCGCCATCCTCTCGCCTCTAGCCTCTGTCCATGCAGTCGGCCTCTTGTGCCAAGGGCCCTTTGGGGGTCCACCCCCAGCCCCACGCTCTCAAGGCTGCTGGTTCTCCCCACCATCACCTCCGCCCAGCCTGGCCACAGCCAAGTGACTTGTCTTTCCCCGAGACCTGTTGCTCTTCCTGTATTTCCCCTCGTGGTGACGAGCGGCACTGGCCTCCCTCAGAATTTCCTGGGTGTCCATAGTCCTGTCAGCCGGTCCCCCTCCCTACCCTGCCCTGCCGCCAGCCTGCTGACCACCACAGACCTCACAGAACTCCCTTTGCCCATCTGTGTTGCTGACCGCTCAGACTGGGGCTTCCATCCAGACCCCTGAGGGTGGCCTCCCCCAGGCCTCTCAGACCCAGCTCAGACCCCACGCCTGCCTGAATCAGAAAGCTGCAGAGGCTCCATGAGGCCTTCAGGAGAAAGCCCAGACTCCAGCTCAGTCTCCCTGTCCCTGTCTCTTTTACTCTCCCTTCATTTTTTTTTTTTTTTTTTTTTTGAGATGGAGTCTTGCTTTGTTGCCCAGGCTGGAGTGCAATGGCGCAATCTCCGCTCACTGCAACCTCCACCTCCCGAGTTCAAGCAATTATCTGCCTCAGCCTCCTGAGTAGCTGGGATTACAGGCACCCGCCCCCATGCCCAGCTAGTTTTTTGTATTTTTAGTAGAGACAGGGTTTCACCATCTTGGCCAGACTGGTATTGAACTCCTGGCCTCGTGATCTACCTGCCTCAGCCTCCCAAAGTGCTGTGATTACAGGCGTGAGCCACTGCACCTGGCCGACTCTCCCTTCTTAAACTCATGCCCAGGCCCAGCCCCATGCTGGTTCCTAAATGCCAGGTCCTGCCCTCCCTCCAGTCCTGTCGGTTGTCCTGCTGCCTTCTCTCCTGCCTTGAAAGGGCTGTGCTTCCCTCCTTGTGACTTTACCCCTGCACCTGCCTCTTGCCAGCGTTGTTTCCTGGGCTGAGACTGTCCCCACTCCCCTGCCACACAGGCTCTGACTCGGCCTCCACTTCTCAGCGAGTTTCCTCAGGCCGGGTCAGGCCCCTCCCCAGGCTCCCACCACACACCATGTGTGCCCACCTCTGCCAAAGCCAGGACAGGACCATCTGCTACCAGACCCTAAGCTCCTTGAAGACAAGGATGCCAGGCCCTGGCACATCTTGTTTTGTTTAGTAAATGTTATTGAACTGCATGGGGAGGCTGAGACTTCAGGTCCCTAACCTGTATTTCATGCCCTTTGCATCCTCAACAGGATGGTGATTGCAAGTTCCGGCCTGGAAAGGCCATCGGCTTTGTCAAGGATGTAGCCAACATCACAATCGTGAGTGCCGATCCCCCCTGGGATGGGGAATGCGTCCTGATGAGGAGACCTCTCTCACGCTGTCCGATAGCCAATGGGCCCAGCAGGGCAGCCTTTCTGGCAGCACATCCCTTTGATGAGTTCAGATTATCATTGGGTCTCAGTTGCTGTGACAGTGGCGAGGTGGGAGGTGGGAGGGAAAGTGCAAACTGGCAGGCAGGCTCTTTGGTTCTGAACTCCAGATCCACCCATGCCTTCATTCTTGTGGTTCTCTTTTCTTGCCTGTAAAATGCAAGCAATTGTCCACATCCCACAGAAGCGGGTATGGGCATGTGCTTGACACAGCGTGTGTGAGACTGAGGAGGGTGACTGTGTGTCACTCAGGATGAGCCAGGTTCTGTTGTAATAACAACTGTGCCCAATCTGCATGGCTAACAGTCAAAGGGTGTGCGGCACCCCTGCGCCCATGCACAGCTTAGGGAGGGTGGTGTGTGCTCGGTGTCATTGGCCTCATGCCAGGACTAGAAGGAAAGAGGGTGGTAAATGATGCCCTAGCTCTAAAGCCAAAGCAAGTCGCCCAGTCACAGTTGACCTCAAGTGAATAGGGAAGTGTGGTCTTACCCTGCTTCTCCCAGAGAGAACTGGAACGTGAGTGAATGCCCTCATGACTCCAGTGTGCATGCGTACAAGTGTGGGAGGGTATGTGTGAGGAGTGGAGGAATATCCCTCAGGTTGTGTATGTGCCCACGAATATATGTACAGTTCACAAACGTGATGTCTGTGCAATGACAGCAGCTGCCATTTAGTTGAAGCATATGCCAAGCTCTCAGCAGTAACATCCTTAACTTGATGGAGTACTTCTAGGCGATGTACCAACCCTCCACACACACTATCCCCTCTAGACCCGAACTGGCCCTAGAAGATGAGTATCCTTATTACCTCATGTGACAGATGAGGAAACGAGCTCCAAGTGGTTAAGTAACATGCCCAAGGCCACAGAGCTAGGAAATGGATGCTGGATTTGAACTAAGAATATGTCATTCCAGAACCAGGGCTCATTGCCTTGACAGCGTACAGTCCACACCCTGTACTCAGGATATCACCCTCTTCAGAATGTTGCTGCTGTCACTCAAGCTGGCTGCTCTGGGCCGTGATATCCCACAGACAGGTGAATTGGGGCCTCAAAGGTATCCTTTGCGTGGTCCCCAGAAGAGCCTCATTGGTGACACCTGCAGGGCCCTGACGACCAGGCCAGAACTGGCATTCAGCCCTCTTGGGCAGGCCCATGGGGTGGAAATGGTGCCACCCACAGAAGTCATCACCCCTGTGCTGGGCCGGCCTCTGTGCCCTCCATGTCTCAGATATGCCCCGACTTGTCGAGCTCACAAGGCCTCGTCCACATACCAGGAAGGAAGGCACTCCCTCGCCAGGCAGCTGTTTGCTTTTCATCGCTGGGTCTCTGTCCACCCCTCCAGGGAGGCAGGATGGAGGGAGGCTGGGTGCCCCGTCCCTCCTGCACTTGCTTCCCTTCAGCAGGGCCCTGGCGTCAGTGCAGGTAACTTTCATCCCCATTTCAACTCCTAGAGGTCTCTTCGTTAGCGCACTTGAACCCAGCCACCCCCAACCCAGAAGCTCCAAAAAGTGCTGATGCCTGGGCCCCACCCTGCAGATACTGCTGTAGTTGGTCTGGGGCACAGCCTGGACTTGGGGTTTTTTTAAAGTTCCACATGAGGTTCTACCTGCTGCTGTCACCTGGTCTCTGCAGCTCTGTTCCAAAGCTGCAGCCTCCAGGAAGCCACCCTGACTTCCCCCACCTGCCTTCCCCCTTGGAGGGGACAGGTTCTACTCAGAAGGCACACAGCCCTCAGCTGGGTCATCTCTTGTTTCCACCGCCATCTGGGACCTACCCGTCCATGGTTTATAATCCCTGTGTTCTAGTAGCAAATCTTTGTGGACTGGGTTTATGGGTGTAGGGCGTCCTGGGGTAGTGGGACATCATACCCATCTCTGCAGCCCTGAGAGCTGCTGGCCCAGGAGAGGACCTCAGGGAATGGGTGTGAATGACTGAATGAGTGGGTCCACGCTGTCCCCCGAGGTCCCTATCCCAGAGGGTGCAGGGTTTCCTAGGAGCAGAGTTGGGGAGAGGAATGAGAGATGGCCAGACAGACCCAGCCAGAGACGGGAAGGGAGAGAGGCCACAGGGGAGCTAGTTCTGGCCATGATGCTGCTCTGGGCCTCTAGCCCCTAGCTTGAGGCAAAAGGCTGTACTGTGAAAAGAGTAGGGAGATGACAGGCTGTGTGTGTCTGTCTCGGTCCTGTTTCTACAGTATGATGAGGAAGCGATGGTAGAGGCTGTGGCCCTCTACAACCCTGTGAGCTTTGCCTTCGAGGTGACTCAGGACTTCATGATGTATAAAACGGGCATCTACTCCAGGTGAGTCGGGGTCCCAGGAACCAGGAGGGACAGTGGGGAGGGCCTTGGTGGGCCTCCTCACACCCCACTCATGGGACTTGGGCTCACAGCTCAGACTCCTTCCTCTGTGTCAGACCCTTCATGACACCTGCCAGGTGCTGGGCGTTTTACACATCCCTCAGGTAATCCTCACACAGCCCCAAGGGCTAGGAGCCATGGCCTCTTCTCACAGCAAAGGAGACAAGGTCAGAAAGGATACAGCAGACGCAGGCCACCTGGCTAGTGAGAGCTAGGGCCAAAATGTGAGAGCTCTGTGTTCCTTAACAGAAGAGCTGCCTCCAGTTTGAAAAACCCATGTTCAGGCCAGGCGTGGTGGCTCACGCCTGTACTCCCAGCACTTTGGGAGGCCAAGGCGGGCGGATCACTTGAGGCCAGGAGTTAGAGACCAGCCTGGCCAACATGGCGAAACCCCATCTCTACTAAAAATACAAAAATGGAAAAAGAGCCAGGCATGGTGGTGCGCGCCTGTAATCCCAGCTACTCGGGAGGCTGAAACACAAGAATTGCTTGAACCCGGCAGGTAGAGGTAGCACTGAGCCAAGATTGTGCCACTGCACTCCAACCTTGGTGACAGAGCGAAGCTCTGTCTCAGATAAAGAAAACCCATGTTTAAAAATTCAAAGACATAAAATAGGGAGGAGAGAGTAGCTGCCCTCACACACCAGGATCCTGCACTGGAGGAGTCACCCAGGCTTCTTCAGAAAAACCAAGCTTTAGCCTCTTTACTACGGGGTTTCTCTCACCAGCACCTCTTCGCCTGCCTGGTTTGCAGCCTCGTTTCCCTCCCTTCATCAGTTGCTGCCCTTTAACGTCACTCACGTCTGTGCTCTCCTGTCTCTCCCTGAGGCTCTGCCCCTGCCCTCATTGTCCTTGGACCCCCTAACCCCCCCACACACTGTTCCAGCCTCCACTGGGAGCTCTCTGCCTTCTGAAACACTCCTCTTGACACACCAACCTTTGAATACACCAGTGTCCCTGCTTTCCCAGGGTCCTACCCTCGGGGGGACCCTCATGATCTGGTCCTCCCTCTTTTTCTACACTCATCTGCCATCAAACCCCGTCTCCTCTGTTCCACCCTGCAGTCCCCACCCCGGCCACACAGAAGGGTTCATAGTTCCATGGGCATTCCCCGCCTCCTCAGGGAGCCTTCCCTGACCCACCCTGCCCACCCCCGCCCCGGTGGGTTGGATCCCCCTCCTGCGGGCTCTGTCACCCTCCCACTGTCACAGCCCTCAGGCCTCTGTAGAGAAGCAGCTTCTTTGCCAACCTGCTCCCTGCCAAACAGGGCTTCCAAGGGACAGTTATGCATGCTGCCTGGATCCCGGCACCTGGCCCCGGGCCTGGCACGAGCCCATGGCCCACTTGCACATCAGCTGAATTCACACCTGACCACTGCAGTTTGTTCTCTTGAATTTCTTGGAATTTCCTTATGGAAGCTAGTTCACTTTTGTAAACAGAAGAAGTTGTATTTTTGCCATAGGTGTAAAGCAATATTTAATAAATGCAGTGGCAACGAGGCAAAGCCGTGTTAAATTCTGCCAGACGCTGTTGCCTGGAGAAGGTGCAGCGGGAAGGCGGCGCTCTCCTTGCTAGGAAAGAGGGAGTAGAAAGTGTCAGGGGTGAGACATGGGCCAGCACCATATGGGGAGTTTCCCAACAGGAGCAGAAGAACCAAAAGAACTGAAAGGGCCGGGTGTGGTGGCTCACACCTGTAATCCCAGCACTTTGGGAGGCCTTGGCGGGTGGATCACCCAAGGTCAGGAGCTCGAGACCAACCTAGCCAACATGATGAAACCCCGTCTCTACCCCGTCAAAATACAAAAATTAGCCAGGTGTGGTGGCGCACGCCTGTAATCCCAGCTACTCAGGATTCCGAGGCAGGAGAATTGTTTGATCCCTGGAGGTAGAGGTTGCAGTGAGCAGAGATAGCACCATTGCACTCCAGCCTGGGCAACAGAGTGAGACTCCACCTCAAAAATAAAAAGAACTGAAAGGAGTTCTCTCGCGGTGACTAAATGTGATTAAATCACCACCTTACATGCCTCCCTGGTCCCCTGTGGGGAACATTGGTCTAAAGCACTCAAAGAGGCATTGTTGGATGGGACTGTCATTGCTTTTATCCTTCCCATATGATCACCTCTTTTTAAATTTTGTTTTCCAGTACTTCCTGCCATAAAACTCCAGATAAAGTAAACCATGCAGTACTGGCTGTTGGGTATGGAGAAGAAAATGGGATCCCTTATTGGATCGTGAAAAACTCTTGGGGTCCCCATTGGGGAATGAATGGGTAAGCAGCTCCCAGGTCCCACTGCTGGGAGGGGGCTGTTGCTCAGGCCTGGAGGCCCTGGGGACATCGCTTCCACCTCAGAGTTACGGCTTCCGCAAATGAGCTGGGCAGCCAAGCCCTAGCCCAGGCCAGGGGGAAAGGGAGCATGAGAATGTAGCCTCCACATCTCCAAGCCCCCATTTGCAGCCCTCACAGGGCCCCAGGTCTTCAGGATGCTGCAGGGAGAGCAGGAGGCCAGCTGGCTCAGAAGGACTGCTAGGAAAACAGCTCAGAACTCGGAACTCTGCTGGCACGAAATCAGTGTCTGGGAGGGTCCGTCTCTGAGAAATCAAGGCAACAAATGTACCCCTGATCACTGACAGCCCCTCCTTTGGGGAGAAAAGGCTGGCATGGGGCGGCCTGGGTGTACATGCTGCCGTGCCTTTGTTCTGTCCTCCTGCCAGACTCTATGTCTTCGTCTGAAAAGGAGAGCTTTCGTGTTTGTTCCCTTAGGGCCCTGTTGATTAAATAGCTGTGTGAGGGCCTGGCCAGGGCTACGAGGGGGCCCTCGGTAAATTTTCGGGAGAAGTGGGATATGGAATGTTCATTTGGCAGCCAAGGAGAAGGAAGAATGAATTCTTTATAAAGTCAGGTCAGTGATTTGCTGGTGATCAAATAAGCTGAATGCTACTGTTTTATGAATAAATTCAGAGGGTCTCATCCCTAAAGTCAGCTCTTGGTGAGCAGCAAAACATTCTAGAAAGGCCTGTGGTCAGGAGACCACCGGCTGGGCCTCAGCTCCTCTCTTTGCCCAGGTACTTCCTCATTGAGCGTGGAAAGAACATGTGTGGCCTGGCTGCCTGCGCCTCCTACCCCATCCCTCTGGTGTGAGCCATGGCTGCCGCAGTGCAGACTGGCGGAGAAGGAGAGAAACGAGCAGCCTGGGCCTGGGTGGAAATCCTGCCCTGAAGGAAGTTGTGGGGAGATCCACTGGGACCCCCAGCGTTCTGCCCTCACCTCTGTGCCCAGCCTAGAAACCTACAGAGAAGGAGGAGTTCCACCACGAGCTCACCTACGTCTGTGACGCAAAGATCACCAGCCATGTGCCTTAGTGTCCTTCTTAACAGACTCAAACCACATGGACCACGAACATTCTTTCTGTCCAGAAGGGCTACTTTCCACACATAGAGCTCCAGGGACTCTCTTTTCTGTATTCGTTGTTCAATAAACATTGAGTGAGCACCTCCCTGGATGGAGCATGCTGGTCATCAGTTGCCCATCTCTACTGAAAATACAAAAATTAGCCAGGCGTGGTGGTGTGTGCCTGTAGTCCCAGCTACTCAAGAGACTGAGGCAGGAGAATTGTTTGAATCCGGGATTGGGAGGTTGCAGTGAGCTGAGATGGCGCCACAGAACTCCAGCCTAGGTGACAGCGAGACTCTGTCTCAAAAGAATAAAATAAAAAATAAAAGGGGCAGCCAGGCGCAGTGGCTCATGCCTGTAATCCTAGCACTTTGGGAGGCCAAGGTGGGTGGATCACAAGGTCAAGAGATCGAGACCATCCTGGCCAACATGGTGAAACCCTATATGTACTAAAAATACAAAAAATTACCTTAGCATGGTGGCACACGCCTATAGTCCCAGCTACTTGGGAGGCTGAGGCAGGAAAATCGCTTGAACCCGGGAGGCGGAGGTTGCAGTGAGCCAAGATCGCGCCACTACACTCCAGCCTGGCAAGAGAGCAAGATTCCATCTAAAAAAAAAAGTAGGGGGGAAAGGAGCAGGGGGGGCTGCAGGGGCCAATTCCCTCCTTTTCAGCCATTTATCAAACACCTACAGAGTGTCCAGTGTGTGCAGTCCTCTCCTGTACCAGGCACCGGGGAGCACACAAGGATGTTTATAGCATCCAGTGTTGGCAGGACTGTTGTGAAATAAGCAGAATGGCCTGTGCCTTGGTGCTGTTTGGAGTTAAAGAGATCGGCAGACATGGCTACTTCCAACTGGGATAAACAAATTTCAAATGCACTTGAACCCTGAGGATGCTACAGAGCCTGGTAAAGAGCAGGTGCTGCCTAATTGGTCTCAGTCATCACCCCTGCCCCTACTCCATGACAGGCCCCGTGCGGACCTCTAGGAATCTCAGGCCCATGGACTATGTCTTTGACACTAAGGTGCTCCCACACTTAGGGGAAAGATAGCAGAGTTTTTAAAAAACGAAAAACAGTTAAAGTCCAAAGGTTAAAAACAAAGACATCACAAGAAAAGAAAACTACAGAGCAATGTTCCTTATCAATACAGATGCCAAAATCCTCAATAAAATACTAGCAGACCAAATCCAGCAACATAGAAAAAGAATTATACACCATCTCTACTAAAAATACAAAAATTAGCTAGGCGTGGTGGTGTGCACCCGTAATCCCAGCTGCTCCAGAGGCTGAGGCAGGAGAATTGCTTGAACCCAGGAGGTGGAGGCTGCAGTGAGCCAAGATTGTGCCACTGCACTCCAGCCTGGGTGACAGAGCGAGACTCTGTCTCAAAATGAAAAAAA